AGGTGGGAATCAAGGAGGGGGTCGCCAGGGGATCTCGGAGACGGGGCATCTGGAAGAGCACACTAAGTGCCCCTGGGCAGGACAGCGGTGGCTCTAAAGCCGACAGAACTGCTGTGCTATTCTGTGAGATCCCGGCAGGGCGATGAATCGCCCGGCCTCAGTTTCCCCATCTGCAAAAAGTGGCTCCACGATGATTTCTGTTGTCATTCATTCCTTCATTTGCCCAGCTTTTCACCAGGGGCTGGGTGGGCAGACAGAGGGTCTCGAGTCTCCAGGGAGGAATATGGGGACACAGAAATGATTACACAGTGGGGCCAGGCACAGTGGCTCACACTGGTCACCCCAGCACTTTGGGAGGCTGAAGTGGGTGGATCTCATAAGGTCAGGAGTTCAAGACCAGCCTGGCCAACATGGTAAGCCCTGACTCTACAAAAATTAGCCGGGCATGGTGGAAGGTGCCCGTAATCCAAGCTACTGAGGAGGCTGAAGCAGGAGAATCACTTGAACCTGGGAGGCGGAGGTTGCAGTGAGCCGAGATTGCACCGCTGCACTCCAGCCTGAGCAACAGAGCAAGACTCCATCTCAACAAATAAATAAATAGGCCGGGCGCGGTGGCTGACGCCCGTAATCCAAGCACTTTGGAGGCCAAGGCGGGCGGATCACCCAAGGTCGGGAGTTCAAGACCAGGCTGATCAATACGGTAAAACCCTGTCTTGTAAATAAATAAGATGTGGTGGCTCTTGCCTGTAATCCCACCACTTTGGGAGGCCAAGGCAGGTAGATCACGATGTCAAGAGTTCAAGACCAGCCTGGCCAAGACAGTGAGACTCCGTTCCTACTAATTAGCCGGGCGTGGTGGCGTACACCTGTAATCCCAGCCACTCGGGAGGCTGAGGCAGGAGAACCGCTTGAACCCGGGAGGCAGAGGTTGCAGTGAGTCGAGATTGCACCACTGCACTCCAGCCTGGAAGACAGAGCAAGACTCTTATCTCAAAAAAAAAAAAAAAAAAAAAAAAAGGCCGGGCACGGTGGCTCAGGCCTGTAATCCCAGCACTTTGGGAGGCTGAGGCGGGTGCATCATGAGGTCAAGAGATCGAGACCATCCTGGTCAACATGGTCAAACCACATCTCTACTAAAAATACAAAAAATCAGCTGGGCATGGTGGCGCGTGCCTGTAACCCCAGCTACTCAGGAGGCTGAGGCAGGAGAATTGCCTGAACCCAGGAGGCAGAGGTTGCGGTGAGCCGAGATCGCGCCATTGCACTCCAGCCTGGGTAACAAGAGCGAAACTCCGTCTCAAAAAAAAAAAAAAAAAAAAAAAAGGATTGCACAATGGGATGGGACGTGGTCCCCCAGTACCTGAGTGAGGAACTTCAGGGGTGCTCTGCGGGGACAGGCCCGGGTGGGTGGAGCGGGTGCGGTCATCTCTGCTAGAGTTTCTATTAGAACCTGAAGTTTGGGGAGCCAGGGCAGAGCCCGTCCAACTGGCGCCCTCTGGCGGCCAACAGGAAGGCGGCGGAGTCGACAACCCCAGGGAAGACAGGAAAGGACTAGGGCGACAGGTTGCAGAAAGAGGGGTGTGGTATTTAGGACGCGCAGCAGAGGCTGGGGTCCCCGTCCGTACCCTGCGGCACCCATCACTTCTGAACATGTAAACGTACACCGGCATGCAAGCACGCATCAGCAGCGCACACATCTGCTCATTCTCTCTCCTTCTGGGGCTGCAAGGCCCAGAGGAAGGTGTGGGCGGGGCTGGGTCCTTCTGAGGCCGAGGGACTCTGTACAGGCCTCTCCTGGCTCCTGGTGGGTGGCTGGCGTTCTTGGCTTGCAGACGCTTCACCATGGTGTTGTGTGTGTGTCTGCGTCCACATTTCCTTTTTTTTTTTTTTTTTTTTTAAGACAGAGTTTTACCATGTTGGTCAGGCTGGTCTTGATCCGCCCGCCTTGGCGGATCCAAAGTGCTTGGATTACAGGTGTGAACCACCATGCCCGGCCAAAATTTCCTTTTTGTTTTTTCCTTGAGACAGTCTGGCTCTGTCAGCCAGGCTGGAGTGCAGTGGCATGATCTCGGCTCACTGCAACCTCCACCTCCCGGGTTCAAACGATTCTCCCATCTCGGCCTCCTGAGTAGTTGAGATTACAGGCCCCCGCCTGGCTAATTTTGTGTATTTTTAGTAGAGACAGGATTTCACTGTGTTGGCCAGGCTGGTCTGGAACTCCTGACCTCTGATAATCCACCTTTGGGGCCTCCGTGCCCCAAAGCGCTGGGATGACAGGTGTGAGCCACCACACCCTGCCTTTTTTGTTGAGACAGGGTCTCGCTCTGGCACCCAGGCTGAAGTGCAGTGGCCCCACAACAGCTCACTGCAGCCTCAACCACCTGGGCTTAAGCAATCCTCCCACCTCAGCCTCCTGAACAGCCAGGACTGCAGGCATGTGCCACCATGTCCAGCTAAGTTCTGTATTTTTGTGGAGATAAGATCTTGCTATGTTGCCCAGGCTAGTTTCAAACTGGTTTCAAGCAATCCTCCCACCTCAGCCTCCTGAGTAGTCGGGACTGCAGGCACATGCCACCATGCCTGGCTAATTTTAATTGTTTTTGTAGGGACAGGGTCTCATTATGTTGCCCAGGTTGGTCTTGAACTACTGAGCTCAAGTGATCCACCTGCCTCAGCCTCCCAAATTGTGGGAATGACAGACGTGAGTCGCTGGGCTCAGCCCAAGTTTCACATTTCCCCTTTTATATAAAGGAGACCAGTCACCTTGGATCAGTGCCCACCCTACTCCAGAATGAATTTTTTTTTTTTTTTTTTGAGACGGAGTTTCGCTCTTGTTACCCAGGCTGGAGTGCAATGGCGCGATCTCAGCTCACCGCAACCTCCGCCTCCTGGGTTCAGGCAATTCTCCTGCCTCAGCCTCCCGAGTAGCTGGGATTACAGGCACGCACCACTATGCCCAGCTAATGTTTTGTATTTTTTTAGTAGAGACGGGGATTCACCATGTTGAGCAGGATAGTCTCGATCTCTTGACCTCGTGATCCACCTGCCTCGGCCTCCCAAAGTGCTGGGATTACAGGCTTGAGCCACCGCGCCCGGCTGTTTTGTTTTCTTTTTTAAAGATGGGGTTTCACCATGATGGCCAGGCTGGTCTTGAACTTGTGATCTCAGGTGATCCACCCACCTTGGCCTCCCAAAGTGCTAGGATTACAGGCGTGAGCCACTGTGCGCGGCCATCAGTTTCTTTTCTTTGGGGTCAACATTTTCACAGGCTGGGCTGGGAGGATTGCTTGAGCCCAGGGGGTTGAGGCTGCAGTGAGCTGGGATTCCAGCCTGGGCCACAGATAACTTATTTTTGTTTAAAAAAAAATTGGCCGTGCGTGGTGGCTGACGCCTGTAATCCCAGCACACTGGAAGGCCAAGGCAGTCAGGAGATGGAGACCAGCCTGGCCAACATGGTGAAACTTTGTCTCTACCAAAAACACAAAAAATTAGCTAGGCGTAGTGGCACACACCTACAGTACCAGCTACTTGGGAGGCTGAGGCAGAATCACTTGAACCCTGGAGGCAGAGGTTGCAGTGAGCAGAGATCCCGCCACTGCACTCCAGTCTGGGTCACAGAGGCTCAAAAAAAAAAAAAAAAAAAAAAAAAAAAAAAAAAAAAATCGAATTTTTAATGGGAAGAAAAGTATAAAGAAAGAAAGAAAAGTAACAGAAAAAGTGAGGTGTGGAGGAGAGCGTGCTCAGTGCCATGCGGCCGTATCATGAAGATTGCAGCAAGCCAGGTCCGACTCCACGCTTAGGGCAGGGTGAGCACACTGGCTGAGGGTGCCTTGGGCCCAGGAGGCAGCGGCGCTGCAGGCCCACAGCCGAGGCCAGACCCAGGGATGCCCAGGCTCCTGCTGGCTGCACCCTGCCCAAGGCCAGGCGCTGCAGGGTCCTTCCGTGGAGGGGACGGCCTGGGGGAACACGGGCACCCAAGCTTACACTGAAAATTCAGCAGGTCCCTGGGTCTGGTGCAGAGATGCATTTATTTCCAGGATATTTTCACATAACAAAATCCCAACAAGGCCTCAAGGGGCCACACCTCAGGGGGCGGTAAGGGGGCGGGAAGCGGGGCAGGCCTGCCAGGGGGGACTTGGTCTGCATCAGCACAGCCAAACAGCTGTGAGGCTGGGGAAGGAGCGCCCTTGGCAGGAGATCGGCGGGGGGCAGGACCTGAAAACCCAAAGCATGGACGTGGGACCTGTGGGTGCTCCATCCTGGCTGCCATCCCCCCGAAACCAAAGCATGGACGTGGGACCTGTGGGTGCTCCATCCTGGCTGCCAACCCCCCGAAACCAAAGCATGGACGTGGGACCTGTGGGTGCTCCATCCTGGCTGCCATCCCCCCGAAACCAAAGCATGGACGTGGGACCTGTGGGTGCTCCATCCTGGCTGCCATCCCCTCGAAACCACGGCCGCCTCTGGGCACCCAGCAGCATTCTGCACCAACGAGGGGACCGGCCCACATCTGGGGAGGCCCAGGGCGGCAGCGTCCCACAGCAACAGTGTCCCGGGGGTGAACGGTGGTGAGGGCGGCAGCGGGGAGTGTCCCCAGAGTCATCGCCAGCGAGTGCAGGAAATGATGAAGGGAAAGTTTTTTGGCCCAACCGCTGTGAACGGTGCTGTGGAAATGGCCCGTGGAGGGTGGAGGCGTTTCTGGGGGAGTCGGGGGGACAAGGGGAGGAGAAAATCGAATCGTGGCTGCTGCCAGACCCCTCCATAAGGCACAGATTTGACAGGTCCCCTCTCCTCATAAGAGGCCACTCCAGGCCAGGTGCGGTGGCGCACACTTATTATTCCAGCACTTCGGGAAGCCGAGGAGTGTGGGTCACCTCAGGTCAGGTGTGACCACCCCGGCCAAACCCCGTCTCTACCAAAAACACAAAAATGAGCCGGGCGTGGTGGCACACGCCTGCAATCCCAGCTACTCCGGAGATGAGGCAGGAGGCCCACTCGAACCTGGGAGGCGGAGGCTGCAGCGAGCTGAGATCGTGCCACGGCACTCCAGCCGGGACATGAGCGAGGCTCCCTCTCACGAGAGAAAAAAAAAAAAAGGCCGCTCCTGCAGGGCTGGGGCTTCAGGGAAGGCGGCCCTCTGCAGTTCGCTGGGTTTGGGGAGTGGCCGTGCTCCCGGCTTGGCTCGGGTCCTGAACTTGGGGGTGCGGACAGAGGGCTTGCCCGGGGTCCCTGGTTCAGGGGCAGGTAGGGTGGCCCGAGGACACCCTGGACCAGGAGCTGCCCAGGTGCGGAGAGTGTAGGGAGGGGCGAGGCTGGAGTGCAGGGATCGGGGGATGCTGGCACGGCCCTCCGCTGTGGGGACCGGGAGCTGCCCGTGAGGCCTCTTCTTGGTGTGGGCCAAGGGCGTCTGCTCTGGTGATGGGTGGGTGGCTTGTGTGACACAGTCCCCTATAAGACCTCCTCCAGCCTCGGCACCAGTGGCTCCGGGACAGTGGGAGGGCGGCCAGCCCGCTGCCACCTGTCCCCCGGAGTCTAGCTGCTCAGACCTGGAGACCTGAAGACAAGGCCGTGGTGGTCGTGCAGTGGACCGCAAGGTGACCACACGATTCCGGGAGCAAGAGGGTGTCCTGTGGACGGCAGAGGCCGGAGGCCGCTGGGCAGTGCTTGCGAGGAACTCCGCTCTTGGATGAGACGAACACGGGTTCTGTGGTCCCGGCAGGAGGGGCGTGGTCCATGGCCACCATCGGCTTCCACCCTCCCCGAGAGGAGGATGGCCCCAGGCACTCCCAGCCCTTGGGAGCGAGGGCAGCACAGGAGTGAAGGGGAGGAGGTGGTGGCAATGGCGACTCACCCTAAGGCCACTGGCCGCCGCCCGGGTAGCTGGGCACAGTGGGGTACTCGGGCAGGCTGCTGCCGGAGAAGTTGTTGTACTGGGCCTCCCTCGACGGCGGGTTCCGCCACGTGCCTGTGCTCCACTCTGTCTGTGCCTTCTGGAAGCTTCCACCGGCTCCTCGGTAGATCCTGTGCACCTGCAGAAACAGAGGGCGAGGAGGCAGAGAACAGAAATTGAGCACATGCCTGTAATCCCAGCACTTTGAGAACCCGAGGCGGGCAGACTGCCTGAGTTCCCGAGATTGAGACCAGCCTGAAACCTCGTCTCTACTAAGATACCAAAAATCAGTTGGGCGTGGTGGTGTGCACCTGTCACCTCAGCTACTCAGGAGGCTGAGGCGGGAGAATCGCTTGAACCTTGGAGGTGGAGGCTGCAATGAGCCAAGACTGTGCCACCGACTCCAGCCTGGGTGACAGAGCGAGACTGTCTCCAAAACAAACCAACCAACAAAATCGGTGTCTGGCTGTAAGTGGACGTTTCTGTTACCAGCCCAGCTGAACACTTGTGCGGTCTCTGATGGACCCTGCGACTGCAAACCTGCAGGGCCCCGCCCTCACGGACAAGAGGCTCCAGCCCCAGCTGCTCCTGCACATGGGGTTCACAGGCAGCCCCTGCCTCCCTCCGGGGTCTGCAATCCCAGCATGAGGAAGCACGGGCCTGGCCCCATAGGAACCCGGGTGCTGGGAGTGTCCCTGGGAGTGTCCCCAGCCCGCTGCTGGGGGTGAAGTGTGTCCTGTGTACACCATGAGGAGAGGGCCCAGCTCCCCAACATTCACCACCTGGGACAGCTGGGTGACGAGTTCATGGAGAAGGCATACGGGGTGAATGTCCCAGAGCTGAGGACTCACCTTCATGATAGCGATGGCCATCATGGCCGCCGACACAGAGAACATGATGGCCGGAAGCAGCATGACCACGGAAGCACCCACGCTGATCTGGAAGAACCCGATTGCTGACAGCCAGCCACTGCAAGAGATAAGAGTGTGTGTGGGTGCCTACACATCCACCAGATGGGGGCCCAAGGTCCTCCCTATGTAAAGAGCTCTGACCAATCAACAAGGAGTGGACAGCTCATACAGCAACCACTAAGTCGACAACAAACACAAAGTGATGCTGAGAGCCACCAACGACGTGTGAACAAGACTTATTCCACCACGATCTCAGCAGCAAGCGGCCCGTGCAGGGGGAAGGAGAAACCAGGGCTTCCCCATTAGTTTCCCGTGGTGAGCCCGGCGGACACTAAAAGCTCATTCCCATTGCCCTGTAGAGCCTGCTGCTAAGAATCTCCCCACAGCACCTGCTTCTAATAAGAGACTGCTGAAATCCCACCAGATGGGGCACTGAGGGGCCATTAAAAACAGGAGGGAGGCCGGGGCCGGGGTTCACGCCTGCCTCTAATCCCAGCACTTTGGGAGGCCAAGGTGGACGGGTCACCTGAAACCAGGAGTTCAAAACCAGCCTGGCCAACATGCTAAAACCTCGTCTCTTACAAAAATCATAAAATATTTTAGCCAGGCCCGGTGGCTCACACCTGTAATCCCAGCACTTTGGGAGGTTGAGGCAGGTGGATCACTTAAGGCCAGGAGGTGGAGACCAGCCTCGCCACCATGGTGAGACCCCGTCTCTACTAAAAATACAAAAATTAGCCAGGCATGGGGCACATGCCCATAATCCCAGCCACTAGGGAGGCTGAGGCAGGACAATCACTTGAACCCGGGAGGCGGAGGTAGCAGTGAGCCGATATCACGCCATTACACTGCAGCCTGGGCAACAGAGCAAGACTCTTGTCTCAAAACAAAAGAAAAAAACACACACACAAAAGAAAACACTGCTTTGCTCAGCCACCAGCGGAACACTGTGAAGGCTGGCCCACCTGGGTCCCTACGCGCAGGGCCGGCTCTGGCCACGGCACTTGCCTCTGAGACCTGGGAGGCAGGAAGCACAGTCATCTGGAGATTTTTGTCTAAACAGGTGATAAAACCACAGGGTTTTAAATTCAGGGAACTGAAAGACACGCCACCTCTGTCTCCCCCAGCACACGGGACCCGCAGGCCCCACACGCCCTGGAGCTGTCCAGGGAACTCATACAGACAGGTCTGTGTACCCACTGTGTCACACGCACACGCCAGGCAGTGAACCCAATGCTGCTGCCTGCAAGATGCCGGCCCGCCCCAGGCCGATGAGCTCGGTGCTCCACAGCAGGGCAGCACAGGCTGCATGGGCTTTGGGTCATTCCCTTCTCTTTTTTTTTTTTTTTTTTTTTTTTGATATGGAGTTTTGCTCTTGTCACCCAGGCTGGAGTGCAATGACATGATCTCGGCTCACCACAACCTCCACCTCCTGGGTTCAAGGGATTCTCCTGCCTCTGCCTCAGCCTCCTAAGTAGCTGGGATTACTGGCACATGCCATCATGCCTGGCTAACTTTGTACTTTTAGTAGAGATAGAGTTTCTCCATGTTGGTCAGGCTGGTCTCAAACTTCTGAACTCAGGTGATCCGCCTGCCTCGGCCTCCCAAAGTGCTGGGATGACAGGCGTGAGCCCCCGCACCCAGACTCTTTTGTTTTTGGAGAGACAGGGTCTCCCAGGCCGGGCGCGGTGGCTCAAGCCTGTAATTCCAGCACCTTGGGAGGCCGAGGCGGGTGGATCACGAAGTCAAGAGATCGAGACCATCCTGGTCAACATGGTGAAACCCCGTCTCTACTAAAAATACAAAAAATTAGCTGGGCATGGTGGCACGCGCCTGTAATCCCAGCTACTCAGGAGGCTGAAGCAGGAGAATTGCCTGAACCCGGGAGGCAGAGGTTGCAGTGAGCCGAGATCACGCCATTGCACTCCAGCCTGGGTAACAAGAGCGAAACTCTGTCTCAAAAAAAAAAAAAAAAAAAAGAGAGAGAGACAGGGTCTCCCCATGTTGTCCAGGCTGGTCTGAACTCCCGGCCTCAAGCAGTGATCCTCCTGCCTTGGCCTCCCAAAGCGCTGGGACCACAGGTGTCGGCCACTGTGCCTGGCCTCTTTCCTTTTTCAAAAAAATAGACCTGTTTGGGGATTTTAGATTTACGCAAAGTGACAAACGCACGTGGGGCTCCTGCTTCCCTGCCAGCTTCCTGCTCGCCAGCGTCTCCAGCTCCACCCGCGGGTGTCGGGACTAAGGAGGCACCGGGCAAAACGTCATCCAGGCTGTGCGCTCTGCTCAGAGGCTGCAAGGCCTGCTGACCTCTGCTTCCTGGCGGGGTCCACCAGGGCCCCTGCTGCGCCAGCTCCTCCGTGCACGTGTGGCCCCCGACTGTGTGCTGGGGGTTATTTATCTGGGGGCTCCAGCCCTGGCTCATGGCCCTGGGGGTGCATCACCGCTGGGGAGGGGGCACTGGAAAAGCCTCCTGGGGCAGGTGGTGTGGCTGTCCCCTCGCACCCACAGCAGCGCACTGAGCGTGGGACCTCGCTAAGCCAACAGTGGATGTGAGGTCGCCGCACACGGCGATCTGATTTCTTTCATTGCAAGCAGGCGGGCTCTCCTCTAAGACCACTGTTTCTTTCCTGAGAGCATCCACCTTCTGTCCAACTCGGGCAGGGACTGCAGGCTCCAGCCTCCCCCGTGACCTTCGGGAGATGACCCCAGGCTCCCACTACGGGAGCCGAGTCGCTGCTGCTGCACCTGCATGGTGGCCAAGGGCCGAGGGGACAGGGAGGCCTCTGAGGGTCATATGGGCGCTCACCTCATGCCGGGATCTCAAGAACACCCAGCCTGGGCACAGGCCCGTCTACCCGGCTTAGTCTGGGGAACTTGGGGAGGCAGCAGGCAGGAGGCACCGGCACCCAGGGCAGGGCCAGTGTGAACGGAGCTGGCAGTGGGAAGCTCAGGGGGACTCGGAGGATGCCGGGCAGGGCCTGGACCTGCAGCATGGCCTCTGGAGACAGGAACGCATCCCACAGGCTGGCAGAGCTGGGAGCCCTGGGGACACCCTCATTATGACCCTGACTCAGATTCCTGGGGCGGCACCACTCAGGCTCTTGGGGTGGCGGGTAATAGACCAGCCTCAGCGGCCCATGCAGTGCAGGAGGGGAGAGGCCTGCAGATAGAGGGCCCCTGAAAGGAGAGGAGACACCTTCTCTGGGTTCTGATTTGTGCACCAGCAAGAGAGGGCTGTGGTCCCGTGGGGCAGGCACCCCCGAACAGCAGCTCACTAACGGGAGCCCATGAAACCGAAGGTGCCCGTGGCTCTGTGATCAGCGCCACCCGGGAGGAGCTCCCACCTCGCTAAGGACGAGGGAGACACGCTGGGAATGAGGGCGGGAGCAGCCACTCTTACCAACTGTGGATTCCAAATTATTCCAAAACAAAAAGCCCATTTAAAACGCCAGAAATTTAAGATAAACACACGAAGGCTTCTGGGCGCCTGGCGGAAGAACTCGGAGAACTACCGTCACTGTATTCCCCACACTGACGCCAGCATCTCAGGCGTGCCAACAGCCCCAGGCTGTGAGTGCGTTTTTATGTCTTTTTCGCGTCTTCCTCCTTCAGCGATTTGCACAGAAACACTGGCAGCCGGGACTCAGCTCCCGGACCCCGGAGAGGGGCAAGATCGAGACCTGGGAGGGCAGCGGCAGGCTCCCGCGGCCGCCGGGGTTCCCAGCAGGCCCATGACCCTGCAGCGGAGCGGCGTCCGTCAGAGAGAGGCTTACCACGCGCCCCAGCCGGAGAAGCCGATCGCCTGGATGACGGTCAGGACAAACTGGGCTCCGAAGACGAAGAAAAACGCCATGAAGTTAAAGGAACTGTCGGCTCTGGGGAGGGACAGAAAGCAACGGCGGTTACGCGGCCCCGGCTTCGCCCAGACACACCCAGAGAGGAACGTGCAAGCCAGAGACGCCAAGGACGGAGGCTCTATTTTATTCCTTTGTGTTTAGTCAGGTTTAAAGACAGGGTTTCACCGTGTTGGTCAGGCTGGTCTCAAACTCCTAACCTCCTAATCCACCCACATCAGCCTTCCAAAGTGCTGGGATTACAGGCGTGAGACACCGCACCTGGCTCCTCTGTTTTTTTTCTTTTCTGTGCAGAGAGAGACTCACTCCATCACCCAGGGTGGAGTGCAGTGTCGAGATCTCAGATCACTGCAACCTCCGCTGAAATTATAGGTGCCCGCCACCGCACCTGCTGAATTTTTTTTTTTTTTTTTTTTTTTTTTTTTTGAGATGGAGCTTCACTCTTGTTACCCAGGCTGGAGTGCAATGGCGCGGTCTCGGCTCACCGCAACCTCCACCTCCTGGGTTCAGGCAATTCTCCTGCCTCAGCCCCCCGAGTAGCTGGGCTTACAGGCACGCGCCACCATGCGCAGCTAATGTTTTGTATTTTTAGTAGAGACGGGGTTTCACCATGTTGACCAGGATGGTCTTGATCTCTTGACCTCGTGATCCACCTGCCTCGGCCTCCCAAAGTGCTGGGATTATAGGCGTGAGCCACCGCGCCCAGCCGCCTGCCTAATTTTTATATTTTTAGTAGAGACGAGGTTTCACCACATTGGCCAGGCTAGTCTTGAACTGCTGACCTCAGGTGACCCCCCGCCTCAGCCTCCCAAAGTGCTAGGATGCTAGAATGACAAGCGTGAGCCTGGCTTTTTTTTTTTTTTTTTTTTTTTGAGACGGAGTTGCACGCTCATCTCCCAGGCTGGAGCACAGTGGTGCAATCTCTGCTCACCGCAACCGCCCCCCCACCCCCCGGGTTCAAGTGATTCTCCTGCCTCAGCCTCCCGAGTAGCTGGGATTACAGGTGCCCGCAACCATGCCTGGTTAATTTTTTTATTTTTAGTAGAGACGGGGTTTCACCATGTCGGCCAGGCTGGTCTCAAACCCCTGACCTCGTGAAACCCCCGCCACGGCCTCCTAAAATGCTGGGATGACAGGCTCGAGCCACCGCACCCAGCCAAAATTACTAAAAAGCAAAGCAAAACAGGCAGTAGTTGGCTCTGGCTTGCAGGTCGTCGTCTGCCACCCTGGATGTGAACCGCCCTTCACACTGGCAGAGAAGGGGCGGGTCCCGACAGCTGGGTCGGGACAGGGTGCGGAGCCGGGACAGGGTGCGGAGCCGGGCCCGGTTCCCTCCGCCGGCGGCGGCCCGGCAGCTCTGCTCACCGGAAGGCCTTGTAGACGGGCCGGAACCAGCACACGTAGCTGCAGGGCGTGAACAGGAGCAGCCACACGATGGCCAGGCCGAAGTTGGACGCCGGGCCTCCAGCAATCAGCCAGGCCAGGCAGGCGATGAGGTTGACGCCAAGGGTGGCGCAGTAAACTGCGAGAGAGCGGGAGGAAGGGCAAGTCAGGTGCGGGAGGGCACGGCCACGGAAAGGCTCGCTACCCAGCTACGGGACTCCGGCCTGGGGACCCCACGTCAAGGACGGACACCGGGGCCTGAGGCCTGGACAGCGGCCTCCGTTACTGCTGTGACGCCGCCCAGAGACCCCGCCAGGCTGCCCCCTGCCCCATGGCGCTCCCTCCCTACCCCCCTCCCTCAGGCAGCCCTGCCTCCGCCTCCCGCCCCGCGCCACTCACACATCCACAGCCGGTAGATCCGCTTCACCAGGACCTGGTGCTCCACCGGGATCTCGTCGGAGAAGTTCTGGTAGAAGCAGGGCTTCAGGGGGATGAACCTGGGCAGCGGCGGGAAGTTGTTCTCCTTTGCTGTTGGGACAAAACAAAACAAACACGAAAGTAACGCAACAGAAACGTATCTGGTAACAATCCTGGAGCCAGAAATCTGAGATCAAGGTGTCTCGGGGCCGCGCTTCCTCTGGAGGCTTAGCGAAGGAGCTTTCCTGCCTCTCCCAGCTTCTGAGGTTCATGGTCGCATGGCTCTGGCCTCTGCCTCCATCTCCACCCCTTTCATTTTTTTTTGAGACAGAGTTTCGCTCTTGTTACCCAGACTGGAGTGCAATGGCGCGATCTCGGCTCACCGCAACCTCCGCCTCCTGGGTTCAGGCAATTCTCCTGCCTCAGCCTCCTGAGTAGCTGGGATTACAGGCACCAGCCACCATGCCCAGCTAATTTTTTGCACTTTTAGTAGAGACGGGGTTTCACCATGTTGACCAGGATGGTCTCGATCTCTCGAACTCGTGATCTACCCGCCTCGGCCTCCCAAAGTGCTGGGATTACAGGCTTGAGCCACCGCGCCCGGCCACCTCTTTCATTTTTTTGAGACGGAGCCTCGCTCTGTTGCCCAGGCTGTAGTGCAGTGGCACAACCTGGGCTCACCACAACCTCTGCCTCCTGGGTTCAAGCAATTCTCCTGCCTCAGCCTCCCGAGTAGCTGGGACTGCAGGAGTGCGCCACCATGCCCAGCTAATTTTTGTATTTTTAGTAGAAACGGGGTTTCATCATGTTGGTCAGGCTGCTCTCCACCTCCTGACCTTGTGATTCACCTGCCTCAGCATCTCAAAGTGCTGGGATGACAGGCGTGAGCCACCGCACCCGACTCCAACTCTTCTGATAAATATACTAAGCACCGGACTGAGACTTCGCCCTGCTCCAGTATCTCTTTTTTTTTTCCTTTTTTTAAAAGACAAGGTTTCACCATGTGGGTCAGGCTGGTCTTGAACTCCAGACCACAGGTGATCCGCCTGCCTTGGCCTCCAAAGTACTTGGATTACAGGTGTGAGCCACCACGCCCGGCCCTTTTTTTTTTTTTTTTTTTTTTTTTGAGTTAGAGTCTTGCTCTGTCACCAGGCTGGAGTGCAGTGGCGCGATCTTGGATCACTGCAACCTCCGCCTCCCAGGTTCAAGCAATTCTCCTGCCTCAGCCTTCCAAGTGGCAGGAACTACAGGCACCCACCACCATGCCTGGCTAATTTTTGTGTTTTTAGTAGAGACAGGGTTTCACCGTGTTGACCAGGATGGTCTACGATCTCTTGACCTCTTGATCTGCCCACCTCAGCTTCCCAAAGTGTTGGGATTGCAGGCGTGAGCTACTGCGCCTGGCCCATTACTTCATCTTTTTTTTTTTTTTTTTTTTTTTTTTTTGAGACGGAGTTTTGCTCTTGTTACCCTGGCTGGAGTGCAATGGCGCGATCTCGGCTCACCGCAACCGCCGCCTCCCGGGTTCAGGCAACTCTCCTTCCTCAGCCTCCTGAGTAGCTGGGATTACAGGCACGTGCCACCATGCCCAGCTAATTTTTTTGTATTTTTTTTTAGTAGAGACAGGGTTTCACCATGTTGACCAGGATGGTCTCGATCTCTCGACCTCCTGATCCACCCGCCTCGGCCTCCCAAAGTGCTGGGATTACAGGCTTGAGCCACCGCGCCCGGCCCATTACTTCATCTTAACTCCACTACATCTGCAAAGGCCATGTTCCCAAATGAGCTCCCAATCACGGGTTCCAGGGGTCCACACGGCCTCTGGGGGACGCAGCATGGCCTGGGAGACCCCTGGGAACTTTGGCTGAGCCAGCACTGCCTGCGGAAGCATCCCTGAGCACTCGCTGCAGCCAGAGGGCAGGAGGCCCATCCTCAGGGGCTCCACCTGCAGCGGGAGCTGACAGTACACGAGCGGGTGAGACCCGAAGGTCTCGGAGGAAAGGGCAGCCGTGCCAGTGTGGGCACCGGCGGGCGGTGCTTCAGGTCATGAGGCGGGGAAGGGAATGCGGTGAACTCCGCGGGGTGGGGCATGCAGGACGAGGGCATGGCAGCGCAGGAGCCTCGGGGTGAACTGCCGGGCACAGAAGCAGCAGAGAGCCCGGACAAAGGCAGGGTGAGTGCCCATGCTGAGGCCTCCCTGGCTTCACTCACACCCTTCCTGGCGTCGGAACGGACGACACAGGCGGCTCTGTAGCCCTGTCCCAGCCCCCAGCGAAGGCAAGAACCCAGCTGTGCTGAGCCGTGGGGCCAGAGAAGTCAGAAGCCAGGTGGGCCAGGAGGACACTGCATGGCCACGGCCAGGACCGAGGGCTGCCATGGAAACTGCCAGCGTCACCCTCCCGCCCGCACTGCTGGGGCTCCCAGGCCGGGAGGACTCACCTGACATCTCTTCCTCACCGACCGCCGCGGGCTGAAGCCTGCAGCCGCCTGGAAGAAGACAGTGACAGTCAGGGAACCCCAGGTCGCCCTGGGCAGGGCATTAACCACCCACCGTGGCTGGAGAGCCCCTCATCGTGCCCTGTACTCTGGGCAGAGCAGTGGGCTGCGCGGGTGCCACAGGCCTGACCTGACCCGACGTGCCGCCCCACGGGTTCCCTCCCTCGCTCGAGTATGCACCATCCTTGCTGGCAAAGGGGGAAGGGCCGGCTGCAGCCCTCCCACCCACCGCCCCAGCCAGGATGCCCCTCCCCTGCTGTCCTAGGCCCCCACGTGCCCCAAATCCCGGCTTCAGCCCACAAGGGATGGGTGCTGCAAGGCCTGACCTCCCAGCGAGTAACAGAACCAGGTGCCAACTCACTGCTGTGTGACCTCAGGCTGGTCACATCACCTGCCTGGGCTACGGTTTTCACCCCGTGAACACTGCAGGGCCTAGGACCCCATCACATCCAAGTGGCACCACGGCCTTTCTGAAAGGGAACCCCAGAAGCGCACGCACCAGAGCAGCCTGACCCCTAGCCTGCCAGCCACACACGACAGAGTCATCTAGCTGCTTCCATGGTCCTGGTGGCGGACCTGCCATTGGGAGGTGGGCCAGGCCAGCAGGGAAATGCCCAGTGCCCGTCGGGCATCACAGCACCTCAGGGTTGGAACCATCCCAGATCCTGGCAGGGAGCAGGCCTGAGGGCACCGGCACAGGCCGGAGCTGCCTCCCGCCCACAGGCAGGTGAGGAGGTTTGGAGGAGCCATGGCTTCCGACAACCCATCTGGGGAGGTGTCATGGGAGGTGGGGTGCCCCAGGCTCTTGGGACAGGACACTCTGTCCTCTGTCGGCCTCCTGGCCTCCTGCCCTCTTGCCCGTCAGGGGAAGGAGCTGAGCCCTGAACACCAAGCCTGGAGGACCAACTGCCACCCCCACCGCTGGGCATGCCTCTGCGGCTCCAGCCACATCAGGGACACTCCAGCCCGCCTCGGTCCCAGCCCCAGGTACACAGTCCCCTGCAGGTCTGGAGGGCTCCTGGTCAGCCGCGCTTTCTGTCGGCTGCACCAGCTCCCCACACAGGGCCCCCGCCTGCCGCACCCCGTCCCCCACAGGCTGGGGGCTCAGGGCAGGCCTGTGAGGGGGCTGAGAGACACCCTCGTGGTCATGCAATGGATGCCGCCAGATGGACATACAGGTGCTGCTCCACGTTCTGCAAACTCGGCTCCAGTCCCCACTGTGCTGCGGCCGGCAGGCATCAGCCCTTTGGGGTCCCCTGTTGCCACTTGTGTAGGACACTAAATGCCAGGGTCCCTCCTTGAGGTCGGTGGCCTGTGGGCTACACCTGGTGTCCACGCATCAGGCCCAGGCACTCCCGGAACCATGGGGACTCCAGAAGCCGGCAAGGAGGCAGCAGCTGGGGACCCTGCCCTACAGGAACCAGTGGAGGCGCCTCTGACCACGCGGCTCAGCAGCCCCTCTGCTTGGCCACCAGGCCCTGAACAGACCTCGCCCCACCAGGGAACCTGGCCACCAAGGCACACGCCAGTTAACAGACACCCACTTGGTTTTAGGCTGTTTATTTTCCCATCAGAGCTGTTTCCTGGCCGGAGAGACAGAGGGGACACTAAGGCAGTGAGGGCATCCGTGGAGATCTCCACAGGCTGGCGTTGGGGTGAGCCAAGAACTGAGTCCGGGAAAGCTCACTCCTCAGCTTAACACGGAAGGCAGCCCCCGGGGTCCCCGCTGGAGGCAATGTGTCCTTAAAATCCACGGAAAGGCTTGCACCAAGGAGGTTGAGGCCCAGTAAGTGCAGGAGAGGCGCCCCACGCCGGAAGCACGAAGGTCTGGAGACAGAGGGGCAGAGCCTACGTGTCGGGGTCCAGCCGGAGGCACTGCTCCTCCAGCACGCCGCGGAACACCTGGAATCGGTGGTTGAGGTCCGGCCGCGCGTGGATTCGGAAGCGGGTGCCCAAGGCGCCGTCGGGCGAGGGCGCGCCATAGAAGACGCGCAGGATGCGTGAGTGCACCAGGGCCATGGCGCACATGGCACAGGGCTCACGGGTCACATACAGGTCGTAGCCGGTGCACACGTAGGGGAGGCCGTCCTCGTCCGTATCCAGTTTGCGCACGGCTCCTGCGCGGACGCCGTGGGGGGCGGTGGCTGGCGCGAAGGAGCAGGCGGGGAAGGGCGCGAAGTCGTAGGTGCCGCGGCCCTGGCCGCGCGCCACGAGGTCCACGCACACCATGACAGCGTGCAGGAGGGGGCTGGCGGCGCTGCTGCAGTCGTGGGCGGTGGCCAGCACGTGGTCCGAGGCCGGGTCCACCACCACGGCGCCCACAGCCCGCAGGCCCCGTGCCGCTGCCCACCGGGCCGCCCGCACCGCCCGCTCCATGTGGCTCTGCATGGCGGCACGCTCCTGTGTGGAGAAGAGCCGCCCGGCCAGGGCGCTGGTCACCTGCTTGTCCTCGTGGAAAGATGTGGGCCAGTGGGCGCGGGCCTCCTCGAACTGGCTCCTGGTCAGAGGCGGCCGGGCGGGCACTGGCACCAGGAAGGGCTGCCCCAGGCCACTGGTGTCCACGGCTGGCCGTGGTAGGAGCTCGGCCAGCGAGCGTGGGCCAGAGGCCGGCCCGGCCAGACACAGCAGCATCTCCAGGGCGTGGGGGCTGCTGGCGTCGCGGCTGGGCCGCACCCGCTTGAGGTGAGGCTGGGCTGCGAGTGGGTGCAGGGCCGACACCTCCTTCAGGAGGCGAGAGGTCTGGCGCTTGTCCAGGACGGGCGCGGCGTAGGCCAGCACCAGCTCCACGTCCCCCGCCTGCTGCTCAGACAGGACTGGGAGGGCCTGCCACGGTGTGGGCTCAGGCTCCGGGCTCCCGGCCTCCGTGCGCTGGAGCTGCTCCAGGAGGCCCGAGGCGGGCTCCATCCTCAGCCAGGCTGACTGTGGGAGAGAGACGGGAGTAGGGGATCATCCGGCGGCTGGGAGCGGCTGGGGGCGCCAGGGAGTCCGTCCCAGGAGGCTGTGACTCCGCGAGGTGGGGCTTGAAGAGGCCAGTCCCAGGGCTATGCTCACTCATGTCCTGCTAACCCGTGGTTTGCACAGAGTTTAAATGGCCTTGGTTTTCAAAAGCGAAGACATGATTCACCTACTATGAGACAAGTCATTTTCTTTTTTTTTTTTTTGAGACGGGGTCTCCCGGTCACCCAGGCTAGAGTGCAGTGGCACAGTCTCAGCTCACTGCAACCTTTACCTCCTGGGTTCAAGCAATTCTCATGCCTCAACCTCCCGAGTAGCTGGGATTACAGGCACGCGCCACCACGCCCAGCTAATTTTTTTGTATTTTTAGTAGAGATGGGGTTTCACCACATAATTCAGGCTGGTCTTGAACTCCTGACATCAAGTGATCCACCCACCTCGGCCTCCCAAAATGATGGGATTACTGCACCCAGCCAAGACTGGTCATTTTCAAGTGTGCAATTCATGGCTAGGTGTGGCGGCTCACACCTTTAATCCCAGCACTACAGGAGGCTGAGGTGGGAGGATCACTTAAGCCCAGGACTACAAGACCAGCCTGGGCAATATAGCAAGACCCCATCTGTACTAAAAATCAAAAAATCAGCTGGGTATGGTGGTGCGCACCGCTGGCTCTCAGGTCTCAGCTACTCAAGAGGCTGAAACAGGAGAATCACTCAAGCCTGGAAATTTAAGGCTTCAGTAAGCTATAGTCGTGCCACTGCACTTCAGCCTGGGTGACAGAGCAAGATGCTGTCTCAAAAAAACAAAACAAAAAAAAAAAAATGCTGAGCATGGTGGCTCACTTCTATAAGTCCAACACTTTGGGAGGCTGAGGCAGGCGGATCACAAGGTCAGTCAGGAGATCAAGACCACCTGGCTAACAAAGGGAAACCCTGTCTCTACTAAAAATACAAAAAAAAAAAAAAAAATTAGCAAGGCATGGTGGCAGGCGCCTGTAGTCCCAGCTACTTGTGAGGCTGAGGCAGGAGAATCACTTGAACCTGGGAGGTGGAGGTTGCAGTGAGCCGAGATCGTACCACTACACTCCAGCCTGGGTGACAGAGCGAGACTTTATCTGGGAAAAACAAAACAACCTCAAAAGCCACAAACAAGTGTCCTATTCTGTGGCTCTTAGTATGCTTGCAGTTGTGCGCTCATCACCACTATAAAATTCTAGAACACTCCATCACCTCCAAGAGAAAACTTGTCTAACTACCCACAGCACACACAGCAACCCAGGCAACCACTGATGTGATCTCCGGATCTCCAGATGCCAGAGCCTGGAAGCACAAGCCGTCAACAGGCAGTGCCTGGCTTCCAGACAGAAGAGCCACGTGGCCAGGAACCGAGCGCGACCCTTGGTCCTCTGGCCGCAAGGCGTACAATTCCACCGACACCTGCGCGAGCTGGAATCGGATGCCTCCCCCGCTGAGCCTCCAGGTGACTACACAGCCCTAGCTGACACCAGGGTTCCAGCCCGGTGAGACCCCACGCACAGGACCCAGCCACGTCACACCCCGGCCCCGACTCACAGAACCAGGAGCTGGTGGTGTTTTAAGTGTGCAGCTGCACAGTCTGCTATGCGGGGATAGAGAGCAAGCATGCCACGTGTGGGGAACACGGGGCCACCTCCCGGAACAGCACACAGTCTGGCCCTGACACCAAATGCTCACCTCTGGGTGGTTTCTGTAAACACTCGCCCGGCCCCACGCCCCAGGCAGCCGAGAGCTGGGAAAAGAAAGGACTCGGAGCACAAGCCACGGAACCTAAGCCCTGGAGCGCAGCCCTCCCCCGCGGGCCCAGCTCCCCATCCCTTGACCATGTTCCTGCAGCCGTGCTGGGCCCTGGCTGTTGGGTGGGGCAGGTAGCCACCTGGGTGGCCCTGCCTACTCAGTCACAGAGGAGGTCCTGGTTGGAATGGGGCTGGCGGGAGGAGCTGGGAACATCCCTGGGGCTCCTGCTAACATCCCTCACTGCCAGGCACTGTGCCAAGGTGGCTCTCCGGTGAGAACCTCTGGCCTGACATCACCAGCACGTGACCATTCCTGCCACTGGCACAGGTGAGGACGGGAGGCAGTGGGGGCCTCCAGGGGAGAGGAACGTCTGGCAGGGTCACCCGGCTCTCAGGATCCCTCACCAGAGGGAAGCCTGCCCTAGGGGGGCAGACAGCAGAGCAGAGAGGCAGGGGCCGGGATAGGCAGCCTGCAGGGACTGCTCACAGACCCTGGTGGGTGGTGCTTCTGGGTCCCAGATCTCTGCCATCCACCCCACCTGACCATCCCCAAACCACTGTCTGGGCTGGCCGGTCCTGTGCTCCCGCAGACTCATACCGCAGGCTTGAGGCTGAGATTACAGGCGTGAGCCAGCATGCACAGCACACGGTTTTGTTTTTATTTTTGTTTTTTGAGACGCCGTTTCACTCTGTGGTCCAGGCTGAAGTACAGTGGGGCGATCTCGGCTCACTGCAACCTGTGTCTCCTGCGTTCAAGTGACTCTTCTGCCTCAGCCTCCCGAGTAGCTGGGATTACAGGCACCCACCACAACCCTGGGCTAATTTTTTGTATTTTTAGTAGAGACAGGGTTTCCCTATATTGGCCAAGCTGGTCTCGAACTCCTGACCTCAGGTGATTTGCCTACCTAGGCGCCTTCCAAAGGGCTGGGATTACAGGTGTGAGCCACCGCGCCTCAGATGGTGCTGGAGCTCCCCTCAGATGATCTGAACATGACTCTGGACAATCCTGAACACCAGGCCCGCCCGGACCACACATTCCCACCGGTGTGGACAGATCCTCCCGCAAACAGGGATGTGTCTGAATCACTGTGGAACCACGGGCTGTGGCCGCTGCTCCTCGTGATGCCTTACCCAGTTCATGCCTCAGCCGCTGGGGCACCCCACAGATGGGGGACCAGCACCCAGTGTAACTCCGGACAGTGACCTCGGAGGGTATGCTGAAGCGGCCCCAGCACTGCCTGAAGCTCACAACTGCGACACAGCACAGAAGCGGAGGTGCAGGGGGAGCCCTGAATGCAAAGCTTGGAGGTGGTGCCCACGGCAGCCGACTCGCTGGGCCCTCCAGACATGCACACCACACGCCACCAGGACCACAAAGCCCACGCGGCCCGGCAGGGCCACAAACACTTCACTGTCTCCAGGGTTAAAGACAAACGCAGCTTCGGCTTGTCCCTATAAGAGTATAACCTCTGATGAAAAACAAACAAAAAGACCTGGAGAGGAGGCAGCTGCTGGGACAGCGCAGGCTGGGCCCGCCACACCCTGGACTGGAGGTAGAACTTCTGGGACCAGCTGTGCACCGTGGCTCACGCCTATAATCCCAGCACTTTGGGAGGCCGAGGCGGGCGGATCAGGAGGTCAAGAGATTGACACCATCCTAGCCAACATGGAGAAACCTGGTCTCTACTTAAAATATAAAATTAGCCAGGCGTGGTGGTGCATGCCTGTAATCCCAGCGACTCGGGAGGCTAAGGCAGAAGAACACTCGAACCCAGGAGGAAGAGGTTGCAGTGAGCCAAGACCACAACACTGCACTCTAGCCTGGGCAACAAGAGCAAAACTTTGACTCAAAACCTCAACACACACACACACATAAACACACACACACACTCACACTCACTCTCTCTCTCTCTCTCTCCCCCCCAGCTACTCAGGAGGCTGAGGCAGGAGAATCACCTGAACCTAGGAAGTGGAGGTTGCAGTGAGCCGAGATGTCACCGATGCACTCCAGCCTGGGTGACAGAGCGAGACTCTCAAAAAAAAAAAAAAAAAAAAATCCCAGACAGGCACAGGGCTCAGGGTGATTGACTGTCCCGGGGCAGGGTGGGCTCAACTACCAGTGCAGCTCCCAGCCACCACTGTGGCCCAGGAGCATGACGCACGCCTGCAGTGACTGCCCCAACAGAGGGGCCACCTGACCCTCCCTCCCAGGAGTACAGGCCACCCACGTCCCAGCAGAACACAGCCCCCAGCCTGGGCTGGCTCTGAGCAGGGACCTGTACTGCCAGAGCTTCAGGCAGGTGAGTCAGGCCCTGGGTGGGGACAACCCTTGAGAACTGGAGGCTGGGAGGCCATTATCTAAGCCCACAGATGAGGATGCCAAGGTCAGCGCTGGGACCTGGGTGTCCACCCAGGAAACACACCTGGTGCTGGACCTGCCCTAGAGGTGTTGAGCCCAGCACAGTCACTTCCTGGCTTCGAGAGCTTAGGCACCAGTCCTGACCCCTCCAAGCCTCAGCTTCCACCCCTGTGAAATGGGAACTGCCACTCTGCCTTTTTTTTAAGGCAGGGCTGTCAAAAGCTGAAGAGAAAGTGGGAGGCGCCTGACCATCTCCAGCAGAGTCCAGGAAGGCTCCTCGAAGGCAGTGACCCACAGCCTGGCCTGGAAGGCTGGGGAGACCAGGGAGAGAACACCAAGGAGGAGGAGGCCATAATGCTCACTTCCAAGGCACGCCAAATAGTCTGCCTGACGTCTTGTTTTTTTTTTTTTTTTTTTGAGACGGAGTTTTGCTCTTGTTACCCAGGCTGGAGAACAATGGCGCGATCTGGGCTCACCACAACCTCCGCCTCCCGGGTTCAGGCAATTCTCCTGCCTCAGCCTCCTGAGTAGCTGGGATTACAGGCACGCACCACCATGCCCAGCTAATTTTTTGTAATTTTAGTAGAGACAGGGTTTCACCATGTTGACCAGGATGGTCTCGATCTCTTGACCTCATGATCCACCCACCTCGGCCTCCCAAAGTGCTGGGATTACAGGCTTGAGCCACCGCGCCCGGCCAGTTTCTTTCTTTTTTTTTTTTTTTTTGAGACAGGATCTCACTCTCAGTCGCCCAGGCTGGAGTCCAGTGACCGGATCTCGGCTCACTGCAACCCGCACCTCCCAGGTTCAAGTGATTCCCCTGCCTCAGACTCCTGAGTAGCTGGGACAACAGGCATGTGCCACCACGCCCAGCTGTTTTTTTTTTTTTTTTGTAAATAAATATGGGGTTTCATCATGTTGGTCAGGCTGGTCTTGAACTCCTGACCTCAGGTGATCCACCTGCCTTGGCATCCAAAGTGCTTGGATTACAGGTGTGAGCCACCGTGCCCGGCCGTTTTTGTTTTTTTTTTTGAGACAGAGTTTTATTTCGTTGCCCTCACTATAGTGCAGTGGTGCGATCTTGGCTCACTGCAACCTCCAACTCCCAGGCTGAAGCAATTATCTGAGGCCTCAGCCTCCCGAGTAGCTGGGATTACAGGTTCATGCCATCGTGCCCTGCTAATTTTTCTTTCTTTCTTTCTTTTTTGTGTATGTTTTTAGCAGAGATGAGGTTTCACCATCTTGGCCAGGCTGGTCTTGAACATGGCCTCCCAAAGTGCTGGGATCACAGGCATCAGCCACTGTGCCAGGCCTATTTTTTAATTTTTGTAGAGACAGGGTTTCACCATTATCAGCCAGTCTGGTCTCCAACTCCTGACCTCATGATCCACCCACCTCGGCTTCCCAAAGTGCTGGGATTACAGGCGTGAGCCACTTCGCCCGGCCTGGGACTTGTTTCTTCACACATATATATTTTATTTACTTATTTTCAGACAGGGTCTCACTCTGTTGCCCAGGCTGGAATGCAGTAGTGCCATCAAAGCTCACTGCAGCACCAACCTCCTGGGCTCAAGGAATCCTCCTGCCTCAGACTCCCGAGTAGCTGGTCCACAGACATGTGCCACCACGCCTAAGTTTTTTTTTTTGAGAGTCTCAATAGGTTGCCCAGGCTGGAGTGCAGTGGTGCAATCTCGGCTGACAGCAACCTCCGCCTCCCAGGTTCAAGCGATTCTCCTGCCTCAGCGTCCACAGTAGCTGGGATTATTACAGGTGCGCACCACCATGCCCGGCTAATTTTTGTATTCTTAGTAGAGACGGGATTTCACACGTTGGCCAGGCTGGTCTCGAATTCTGGACAAGTAATCCACCGGCATTGGCCTCCCAATGTGCTGGGGTCACAGGCACGAGCCACCGCGGCCGGCCATCCTTGTTTCCACGGTGTGGATCATGTTTCTGGCCACCCTACGAGGAGGCCTTCTCTGCATGACAGCAAGGAACCTCGGCCCTCGGGGTAGGGTGTGGGAGACGACTGGGGGGCCACGTGACCGTAAAACCCTAAAAACCCACACTCTAGGTTAACGATGAGGAATGATGGTCAATTTGGGGATGTGCAAAGGACTAGGGAAATCTCCACCTAAAGGCAAACCCGAGCTGGGGAGGCGGGACGCGAAGGCGGAGGAAACCCGCGAACTTGCAGTCCGAAGGCAGGGGACTGGCGGCCATGACCCAGAGCCACCGGAAGCAGCTGGAGTGCACGGGGTCTTCCGCCCGGGCCGTTGGGGCGCGCACGCGCAGAAAGGCGCCGGGACCGGGGGCAACGCTGTCCTGAGGCCCCCCCACCCCCGCCAGGCTCGCGCGCAGGCGCAGCCGCGCCGCCTCCCCACGTCGCCCGCCCGCCCGCCGCCCGAGACACGCGTGAGGCTGGCCCGAGCCCCTCATTTTCGCCCGACGGCCGGCCGGCGCCCCTCACCGCCGAGAAGCCCCCACGTCCACCCCTACTCTCCCTCCGTGGGAGCCTAAGCCTAGAGAACCCGAGACCTCGGGGCCGCGCGCTTACCTGAGGGACGCGGGCGCGGGCGCTGCGCTTCGCCAAGTCTTAGCAACCGGCCTGCCCCGCCTCGTCTCCGCCTGAAGCCGCGGAGCACGACGGGAGCGTAGTTCCAGGGGCGGGGTCGGCGCGAGGCAGTGGTGGGGTCAGGACTGCAATTCCCAGCATGGATTGCGCGCCACCCCCTCGCCCCGCCTCCCCACTAGCACTGCGCTCACATGACCTTCCGGGGACGGGGCGGGGCGGGGCGGGGCCGCTGGGCTGAGCGAGCTCTGAGTTTACCGGTTCGAATCCCATCAGTCGGCCTGGGAAATCTCGGAACCCGGGGATCTTTGGGAAGTCAGCAGAGTGGGGAGGATGAAGTAGAGGCGGGGGACACGACACCCATCCTCTGAGACCGGGATGGGGCCAGGTTCCAGTTCTGCCTGTTACTGAACTCCGGATCTGGGGACTGGACCCGGTTCAGGCTTGGGTTTTCCCATCAGTACCACAGGTGAAGGAGACCTCTTGCATCTCCTGGGCCAAATATGCACACTTTTTTTTTTCTTTTTCTTTTTCTGCTTTTGAGATAGAGTCTCACTCTGTCACCCAGATTAGAGTTCAGTTCTCGGCTCACTGCAACGTCCAGTTCCCGGGTTCAAGCGATTTCCGGCTAGTTTTTGTATTTTTAGTAGAGAAGGGGTTTCACGGCTGGGCACGGTGGCTCACGCCTGTAATCCCAGCGCTTTGGGAGGTCCAGGCAGGCGGATTACCTGAGGTCACGAGTTCGAAACCAGTCTGGCCAGAATGGTTAAACCCCCGTTTTTTAAAAAATAGTAGAGTCCTCGAAGGCTAGCAAGCTAGCATCACGTCGTGCGAGTCGTCTATGGTTCTGGGGTACTGGGTTATTCGCGGGCTGGTGCACGCCATCCGCCTGCTCCTGGAGTTCACAGATACCTCCTACAAGGAGAAACGTTACACATGCGGGGAAGCTCCTGACTGTGATGGAAGCCAATGGCTGGATGTGAAAATCAAGCTGGATGGAGTTTCCTAATCTGCCTTACCTCCTGCATGGGAAGAACAAGATCACCCAGAGCAATGCCATCTTCCTATATCGCTGGCACGCAGGATACGTGTGGTGAGACTGCAGAAGAAAAGATTCGAGTGGTCATCGTACAGAACCAAGTAATGGATTTCCGCATACAACCGATAAACCTCTGTTAACAGCTCTGACCGCGAAACACTGAAGCCTCAGTATTTGGAACAGCTGACTGGACAACTAAAACGATCCTCCATGTTTTTGGGGAAATTCTTGTTGGTTTGCAGGGGAAACGCTCACCTATGTGGACTTTCTCACCTATGATGTCTTGGATCAGAACCGTATATTTGAGCCCAAGTGCCCGGATGAGTTCCCAAACCTGAAGGCTTTCATGTGCCGTTTTGGGGCTTTGGAGAAAATCGCCGCCTACATCCAGTCTGATAACTTCTTCAAGATGCCGATCAACAAGATGGCCTCACTGGGCAACAAGCCTGTCTGCTGAGCAGGACGCAGACCTGCAGAGCTGCTTCTGTTTCATCCTGTCCCTAAGGGGTCAGTCTTTCTCCGCTCTTTTCAATAAATAACATTTAGGTTAAATAATAATAATAATAGAAGTTAGAGAAGGGGTTTCCCCAAAACATGCACAGTTTATAGGCAATTTGTTAGTGGTTCCATCTGAACAAGTTTAACCAAGTGGTTTGTTTTTGTTTTTGTTTTTATTTTGAGACGGATGGCGCGATCTCAGCTCACCAAAACCTCCGCCTCCTGGGTTCGGGCAATTCTCCTGCCTCAGCCTCCTGAGTAGCTGGGATTACAGGCACACACCACCATGCCCAGCTAATGTTTTGTATTTTTAGTAGAGATGGGGTTTCACCACGTTGACCAGGATGGTCTCGATCTCTTGACCTCTTGATCTACCCACCTCGGCCTCCCAAAGTGCTGGGATTACAGGCGTGAGCCACCGCGTCCGGCCTAACCAAGTGGTTTTCAACGGGAGGACATTTGTCACCCCCTCCCCACACAAAGGGACGGTGCCTGGTCGTAAACAGCTCAGGCTCGGATGCCTGAGGTTTGACAAACCAGTAAGGAGGAAAAACTACAGCAAAAAGAAGGTAACTTCATTTTTGGAGTTCGCAATGGGGAAGCAGCCAGCGTTGGCTTCCAGAAACCCCTTCAAACTGTTGACTAGGGTGAAGGGCTCACAAAGGGGCACTTGGAAGGGAGGGTGTGCAGGAGAGGTGCTGAGTATAAGCTCTGTGTGCTCATGAATTTTGGTGGCTGAAAGTGTGGGCTGGCCTCATCCTAATAAGTGTGGGGTTATGGATTGCCTTAAGGAATTCTCTGGGATTTTGCAAGTGGGTCCCTGTGCTTGGTCTGTCTCAAGGTTACCTCCTGGAACTTTGAAGTAATCACGTAATTAGATACATGCATACAGTTAGGTAAACTTGCAGCGTAGGGGAGTTTATGGTGAGAAAGGAGAGGACATGGTCTTTCAAAGAAAGTGCTGGACGCAGTGCCTCACACCTGTAATCCCAGCACTTTGGGAGGCTAAGGTGGGTAGATCACCTGAGGTCAGGAGTTCAAGACCAGCCATGGCCAAGAGGGTGAAACCCAATCTCTACTAAAAATGGGAATTAACCAGGTGTGTGGGCAAATGTCTGCAGTCCCAGCTATTTGGGAGGCTGAGGCAGGAGAATTGCTTGAACCTGGGAGACAGTTTGCAGTGACCAGCCATTGCACTCTACCCTGGGAAAGAGCAAAACTCTGTCTCAAAAAAAAAAAAAAAAAAGTGCATTTCAGGCCAGGTATGGTACTCACCCCTGTTATCCCAGCACTTTGGTAGACCGAGGCAGAAGAATCATGTGAGGCCAGGAGTTCAAGACCAGCCTGGGCAATGTAGTGAGATCCTATCTCAAAATACAAAAATTAGCCAGGAGTGGTCAGATGCCTGTAGTCCCAGCTACACGGTAGGCTGAGGCGGGAGGATCGCATGAGCCAGGAGGCGGAGGCTGCAGTGAGCCGTGATTGCACCACTGCACTCCAGCCTGGGGACAATGGGAATGAGACACTATCTCAGAAAAAATAAAAGAATATTTCAAGGCTGTAGTGTATGACTACAGAGGAAAAAAAATAGGTTTCTGCAGTAAGCATCAAGGTTACATCTTGAGACTAGAAGTAAAGAAAAAAAGGAAAAGTTTTTTGCATTTTTTTTTTTCAAGACGGGGTTTCACCATGTTGGTCAGGCTCGTCTTGAACTCCCGACCTCAGGTGATCTGCCCGCCTTGGCCTCCAAAGTGCTTGGATTACAGGCATGAGCCACCACGCCTGGCCCCCCCGCTCCACTTTTTTTTTACGACTCAGTCTCGCTCTTGTCCACCAGGCTGGAGTGTAATGACTGGATCTCAGCTCACTGCAACCTCCGCCTCCCGAGTTCAAGCAAACTTCCTGCCTCAGCCTCCCAAGTAGCTGGGATTACAGGCGCCTGCTACCATGCCCTGCTAATTTTTGTATTTTTAGTAGAGACGGGGTTTCACGGTAATGGTCAGGCTGGTCTTGAACTCCTGACCGCAGGTGATCTGCCGGTCTCAGCCTCCCAAAGTGCTAGGATTACAGGCGTGAGCCATCATGCCAGGCCGAAATTTTACAGTGTGTTTCAGGCCAGACTTGGTTATAGGGAGACATATGTGGTTGTCAGGATTGGGGAGGAGCTCCTGGTATGGAGTGGGTGGAGGCCAAGGATGCTGTCCAGCCCCCAGCAGTGCCTAGGACAACTCCACCCCAGAGAATGATCCCTCCCAAATGTCAGCAGTGCAGAGCGGGAGACCCTGTGTTAATGGTTTGGGAAAATAATAGCGTTTGCCCTCTGCTCACAGTAGACACCTGAATAAACGCCCAAAGGAGCAAGCTATGTAAACCAGGGGAACCCCCAGCTCCTGGGACTCTCCTCCTCTCTCCCTCCCCACTTAGGGTGTAGATTTCAATGTGTGCCGCCTCCTGGGACCTCAGCAGGGCAGAGGATGGTGGGACGCAGGGTCTCTGTCAGAGGTCTGTGGAATCCCCTAATACAGGGGTGATTTTGCCCCCAGGGGACACCGGGCAATGTCTGGGAATATTTGTTGCTGTCATGACTGGGGGTGCTCCCGGCATGCAGTGGGTGGAGGCCAGGGACACTGCTCAGCTCCGTGCAGTGCCTGGGACGGCCCCACCCCAGAGACCAACCCCACCCCAGTGCCAACTGTGCAGACGCTAGGAAACACTAATTTAACTCCATTGCTCAAATAAGACGGTCAATTCATGTCATGTTTAAGGGGAAATCAGCTGCTGTTTTTCCGTTTTCTGTCCGTGTCCTTGGGTACATTGTTGCCTGACTCCAGTGAGAACCAAGGAGTTTCCTGCCAGGATCATCAGGAGTCCTTGCTGGTATGGGATGGCTGGTGGAAGACCCTTCTCTTGTCTGTGGCCGCTCATACCCCAGCTCCTCAGCCATCCAGGACCAGGACTGGGGTGGGCGGGGGGGGGGGGAACGTGAGTTTTTCCCGGTAGTGTGCTAATCATTGCCTGGTCTCCTGACATGTTCATGGATAAAACAGCACTCCAGGCACCGGGCGTGGTGGTCACACCTGTAATCCCAGCACTATGGGAGGCTGAGTCGGGTGGATCGCAAGGTCAGGAGTTCAAGACCAGCCTGACCAACCCGGTCTCTACTAAAAATAGAAAAATTAGCCGGGCATGGTGCTGCACCCCTGTAATCTTAGTTACTCGGGAGGCTGAGGCAGGAGAATCACTCTAACCTGAGAGGCACGGGTTGCAGTGAGCCGAGAGGGCAACATTGCATTCCAGCCTGGGCAACTCCATCTCAAAAAAGAAAAAAACAGAACAGCACTCTAGGAACCTATTTCCCTCTCAGCTAGTTGCTTTTTTTCTTTTCTAAATAAAAACTCAGACTGCTGTGAGTTTTACTTTTTCTTTATTTAGCTTAAATACACATCTCCCCATCCCTGGATGTGTCACGCAAACTAGCCAAGAGCCTCTGTTTTCCTGATTTGTTTTAAAAA